AAAAAGAGACTACCTCCATCACTCTCTCCTACACACACACACACACAGGACCTCCAACCCTCTCCCTCACACAAACTCAAAAAGAGACTACCTCCATCCCTCGCTACCAGACACACACACACAGAGCCTACCTCCATCCCTCTCAACTACAAAGACATACAAGAGTGAGACAACATTGGTCCTTCTCTCACACAGACACACAGTCAGAGAGACAACCTGCATCCCCCTCTCTCTCACACCGACACCCACAGAGACTACCTCCATCCCTCTCTCCCACACACACAGAGACTATCTCCATTCCTCTCACCCACACAGCCACACACAGAGAGACGACCACCATCCTTCTCACCCACACACGCGTACTACCTCCATCCCTCTCTCACACAGGCACAGACTCCCTCCATCCCTCTCTCCCACACAGAAACACACACACACAGAGTACCTCCATCCCACTCTCTCGTGCGCACACACACCCACACACAGAGACACACACCCACACACTAAACGACCTCAATCCATCTCTCCCACACAGACACACACACAGAAAGCCTACCTCCATCCCTCTCACTCACACAAACACAAATGCAGAGAGACTACGTCCATCCTTCTGTCTCACACAGACACAGAAGCAGAGAGGCAACCTTTATCCCCCTCTCTCACACAGACACACACACAGGGAGACTCCCTCCATCCCTCTCTCTCACAGAGACACACAGGCAGAGAGATCGCATGTTCAAGACTTGTAGCTCAGTTGCTGACAATGAGATGAGGAGAAACTTCTGTACTCAGACTTGTTAGGATTTGGAATGCGCTCCCTGGGAGAGTGGTGGAGGCAGATTCCATATGACATTTTAAAAGAGAGCTGTATGTATATTTGAAAGTGATGGATTCGGAAGGTCCCGGAGATAGGGCTGCAGAATGGGATTTGCTGGGTTGCTCTTCCAGCAGCTAGTACAGACATGATGGTTCAAATGGTCTCCTTTTGTGCTGTACAATTTGACGATTTGACTGTTCAGCTGCTTCAACTTTTGGATTTCAAAATCTCCCTTCACCTGAACACTGGCCCTGTTTGTGATGATAATTTGGGTGACTGTTAGATTCTGATGCGGTGTTTGCTTTCAGTGTCCCAACTGTCCATGCTCCCCTTCTAACATCCTGTCAGTTTATTTAAAATATCAAGTGAAAGAGAACACTCATAAACACAAAATGCTGGTTGTGTAACAGAGTCAAATTAATTTGGTAATTTTTGGGACACACAAACAAGGTAACCAGAAAAAGCTGCTAACTTGTCATAATGACTCAGGCAATTCACTGATGTTCTTCAGGCAAGGAAACCTCTTACCTATATGAGATACTGACCTGTCTGGGAAGGTAGACACAAACAGACAGATTGGGAGAGAGATGGAGTAAAGGTCATGATTTTTTCTCTCGACACATCAACCAAATCTTTGAGACAATCTCCCAAATGCACAGGCTCCATCACCCAGGAGCACCACTCCACTAGGTTCATGTGAACACCACTGCCTCCAAGTTCCCTCCTAGTCACACAATGTCCCAACTTGTCTGACATCCAGTACTCCATTTAAACATGAAAACGACTGAGGTCATTGTCTTCATTACCTGCCACAAACTCCGCTCCCGAGCTACGACTCCATCCCTCTCCCTGTCAACTGCCTGAGGCCGAACGACACAACCACAGTGAAACGTTTCACACCAAGGTGAGTTCCCATCCACATTTCCCCCTCTTCATCAAGCTTACCTATTTCTAAGTCAATAACGTCATCCCACACCACTCTAATCTCAACTCATCTGATGTTTAAACTTTCATTCGATCCTTTGTAACCTCTCAAGACTGAGCTGTTCTGACATACTCTCTGTCAATCTCCCACAATCAACCTCCCTGTAATCTTCAGCTCATCCAAAATACTGCTCCCGTTTGCTTATTCGCACCGAGTCTTGTCCCCCCCATCAGCCCCCTGTGCTCACAGATCAGCATACGCTCCTGCTTAAACTCAGCTGGTCTGGCAGCATCTGTGGAGAGAAAACAGAGTTCACGTTTTAAGTCCAGTGCCCTTTATTCAGAATTAATTTTGATTCAGATAGCCAGCATCCACAGTTCTTTGTTTTAGTCTACCAAAGTCGTGAAATCTCATCCCTAATTTCTAATGAAGGGTCACTGTACTCAAAACATTGACGCTGCTTTCTCTCCAAAGATGCTGCCAGACCTGCTGAGTTTCCCCAGCAATTTCTCTTTTTGTCTCTTTATCCTTTAATGGTTGTGATCGTCTCGATCCCTGTGATGTCACACATACTCAGCCACTGATTTCTCTCTCCATAAACTAGTCGACCTTGTGTCATGGTTTGGCAACAATAGACACCGCATTCAGAAACAGTCACCATAACTGACAATAAAATGCAAAACCTCACAACAAAACAAGCAGAGCAAGTTTCCAAGAAAGTAAGACAACTGTGATCAGGCAAAGATGAAACAGAACAATGAATGAACACACATTCAGATTCACAGTAAAGCAGCCACACCTACTCCAGAGACATGGAACCTCTCAGAAACAGAGCAGCACAGAACTAAAATATCAAAACCTTCGATCAATGGTCAGAACGACTCACCTCTGAAACAACCTCGTGTTTCAATTTGAAAATCTCCTGCTGAAACTTGCAACTGAAAAGCTATCAGAAGCACTGCAATCAGAGAAAAATCTCACAGTTGAGGAAATAACCAGGGAGCAGATGATCGCTCTGTGCAGCCTCCTTGAACATCCTGTAAAAGTAGTTTACAAATTCAATCACTGTGGACCAGGGATAAATATTAAGAAACAAACATTACTCTTGATTTGACTTTCCTGTGTACAAAAACACCCTTTCAAACCCACTGGGAAAGGAGTTTTAAAAATCCATCTCTGTTACTATAGGATAGAGATTCACATCATCGCCTCCTCCTGGCCCAGGAGGACCGTGCATGCTGTCTGCTACACGTCACCAGCAATGCTGAGGGGCAATCTGTCAATTCAAGAATGATGTCTCCTCAGTCATGAGTTTCTGTTCTCCTTCTGACTGAAGAGAGCCTTTGGACTAAGGAGGCAGAATGTCATGGGATGCAAACAGCAATATCTGCTTCCTTTCTTTGCATCTGAGCCACTGCTTTGCCTCATCAATAACAGACTGGGTGTGAAAGGCAAAGTCAGCATCATGGATGAGTTATCTCCATTCTGAACAAAAGGTAGCAACTGCCTCCCAGTCTTCCGATATTAATATTAGAGAGGTGACCTCAGAGACGTATAAATTTAAAACTGGACATTGTTGATGGAGGTAGGATCTTCCTGATGGTGGTGGAGTCCAAAAGCAAAGGTCAAAATCTAAGAATACAGGCTAAACTGTTTAGGACTGAAATCAGCAGAAATGTCTTCACCCAAAGTGGTAAGCCGGTGGAATTCATGCTCACAGAAAGCAGTCGAGGCCAGAACGTTGATTTCAACAAGAGGTTTGCGGGAAGCAAACAACCATTGACTCTTCCAAACAAACCAAAGAGAATGACACAGTCTCTACAACATTTGTTAAATGCAGTTATCAATGTTGTTATACATTTTTAATGTGATGGAATGCGAAGAATCAGTGCGTTACAATAAAGTCAAAATTTTTCCTTTACCTACGAGCTTCATTCTGTGATATACTGGTCCAGAAAGATTTCCTGTCATTGACGATGGCAGTTTATTTCCCAAACGCTTAGACTTTCAGTCAAGTGGCCGAAAATATCCCTTACTCCCTTGTCAAGTGGTAAAACTCCTTGAGAGATTTTAGTCTGAGGTAGTTATTGTGCAACAGTGCAAACTTCATGAACTGAATAGTCTCTCCCAGTGCTGCAATTACATCATGCTGCCATTGGTTTCTGATGTTGGAGATCATTGTTTGAGAAAAGGGTAAAATCCGAGAGAAACCAAAAGGCTGAAGGGAGCAAAGAGATCGGGAGGACACAGTGCGGAATTGATATAATGGAGTTAAGGATGTTGCAGTAGTTAAAATCATTGGGAATATTCGCATTTGACAAATAAAAGAAACTCAAGGTGACCTGGAGACATGAATGACTGCAAATGCTGGAAGCCTGAGTTGATAGGTGTGACACTGGAAACGCACAGCACATCAGACAGCATCAGAGGAGCAGGATGAGCCCTCCTGACAAAGGGTTTCTGCCCAAAGTGTTGACTTTACTGCTCTTCTGATGCTGTCTGACCCGCTGCGTTCTTCCAGTCTCACACCTGTAAACTCAAGGAGACCTGATTGTTTTCTGTTATTTATAAAAATAATTTGGATGCAAATATGATTATGATATGATTACTGCATTTGCAGATGACAGCAGAATTGCTTATCTTGTGGACTGTGAAGAAGGTTACCTCAGAGAAGAACAGGACCTTGAACAGATGGGCAAATGCACTGACGAGCAGCAAATTGAGTTTAATTTCAATCAATGTGAGGTGCTGCATTTTGGTCGGGCATGACTTGTACACTTATCAGTTGCCAGAGACCTTGGGGTGCAGGTTCACAGTTCCTTGCAGGTGGAGTCACAGGTAGATTGTGTGGGCAAGGTAGCGTTTGGTATGCTTGTCTTTATTGGTCAGTGCATTGAGTATAGGAGTTGGGCGGCCATGTTGCTGCAGTACAAGACATCGAGGCAGCCCCTGCGGCAAACTGTGTTAAATTCTGCCCTCCATGCAATAGGAAAGACGTTGTGAAACTTGACAGGGTTCAGAAAATATTTACAATGATTTTGCCAAGGTTCGAGGGTTTGAGCTATCAGTAGAGGCTGAATAAGCTGGGACTGTTTTCCCTGGAGCATCGGAGGCTGAGGGGTGACTGCATTGACTTTTAGAAATCATGATGGGCATCAATAGGGTGAATAGGGGTGTCCAAAACGAAAGGACACAGATTGAAGGAGAGACATGAAAAATTTAAATAGGACTAAGAGGTAATTATTTCACAGAGGATGGCGCAGGTATGGAATGAGTTGCCAAAGGTGGCAGTGAGGTTGGTACAATTCCAACATTTAAAGGGAACTTGGATGGGTGTATGAATAGTAAAGGTTAAAGGGATAGGGGCCAAACATTGGCAATAGGAACTATATTAATTTTGGATATCTGGTTGGAATAGACAAGTTGGACCAAAAGGTATGGTTCTGTGTTCTATTGCTCTATGACTGTGACAGCTTTCTGCATCATAATTTAATTAAGAAATTTGTGCATGTTGGTTCAACGGTCCCTGACTACAGGATTCATTGTGACAATCATTTCGCTCATGAGGATTTCCCAATTGTTGACAACTCTCTCTTTTCAGGTGTTTTCCACTTCCTTGCAGGAAGTAATAGAATGACTGGTTCACAAATTCAGGGTAAAAACAACAGCTTACAAGAACTTGTGTGGGAAACTAACCCGTTTTTCTTCTGACTTTAGTTCACTTTTACTTAAGAGAAAAGGACTCGACATCAATTTCCAGAGGTCCGATGACTTCGGGTGAAAATCATTCACACTCAAAAGCTGTTCAGCTACCTGGGAGCCAAACACTGTTGTTGGCAGGAGGAAGGCCTTTGTCATGGAAAACAGGTCACCACTCCACACATCAGTCAGCTTCTTCTTGCATCCCCTACACTCCCCACGTTGCCACTTGGTGTGAAACAAACACCACAACCCTAACCTCCAAACCGGGCCTGTTCTGGAGTCCTGTTTCCAGTTCTGGTCACCCTGTGACAGAAATGATGTTATTAAATTAGAGACGTCTCAGAAAACATATACCAGGATGTTGCTGAGAATGACAAG